TAATATTTAACTTACATATATGCCCAACTTTGAAGGTCATAGTCTAAAGCCTCACAGCAGCAGCTCCATGTTTTCCAGTTTCAGTATTTCTCTGATTTTCTTTTTTTTTTTTTTTTGGGTCCGGTTGTGGGGCCTGAACTCTGGGCCTGGGCGCTGTACTTCAGCTCAAGGCTAGCGCTCTACCACTTGAGCCACAGCGCCACTTCTGGCTTTTTTCTTTTTGCTTATGTGGAGCTGAGGAATCGAACCCAGGGCCTCAGTCATGCAAGGCAAGCACTCTACCACTGAGCCACCTTCCCAGCCCCTTCCCAGATTTTTGACTTTGTAGTTTGGAAATTGCCAAACAGAAAATGTGCTAAAAAATCATTAGAAACAGCATCATTTCACCTCTCTAGAGGAAATGAAGATAAAGCATAGCTTTATTTGATTTAGGAAACTAAAGCAAAGTAATGTTTCCTGCATCCATTTATAGTACTGTAAATTTACACCCACTGCACTATTTCATTTAGACCCGATTGTTCTGATTAGAATGAGAATGGAACAGGGAAACGAGAAGTACTAGGGTAATCAAGTGTTTAAACTGTGTTTTTGAAAAGCGCTTGTTGGATCCAGGGTTCAGACCCCCATTAGTTTCAGTGCATTGACAGATCCTGGTGATGGATGTCCACTCGCTGCCCCTTAACCCTCACTGCCACTCTTTCCTCAGTCTCCTGCCCATCCACATGGCCGGGGGAAACCTCCTGTTTATCCCCCACCTCACTGCGATGCATCAGAATCAATGTTTTGTCCTATGCTCTCCATTACATTTCCTTGGTTGTCTACTTCCTGTACTAGACTAGAAGGTCTTTTGTTTCTTTCTTCCATGATACACAGTCTTGGTTTTGCATATGGTAGACCTATAGTATTAATAACCTATGAGAAGCCATCATGGCCAAAATGAAGATATCAAGAGATCAAAGGTCTCCAGAAGACTCTAACACGCATTTGTACACATAAGTCTCTCTTTGAAATCATCAAGCACCAATACTTTAGTAAGAAAGTCTCAGTGTTTAATCAAACCTGAATTCATTCACTTACCAAGAAAAATAGTGCCCTTCTTCACCAAGGGATTTTAAGACAACAGAGCAAGCATGTTGTGGGGGAGAAATGGTTTATTTCTGGAATTTTCCATTTTATACTTTTATTTTATGTTTATAACTGAGTCCACAGAGAATTAACTGTCAGTAACAATAAATAAAATCTGTGGTATATCAAAAAGGCCTAGAGCATTTCCATAATTAGAAATGAGTAGCAGAAAGAGCCATAAAGAATTGAGTAAGAGGTGGGCACTGGTGGCTCACACCTATAATCCTAGCTACTCAGGAGGCTGAAATCTGAGGATCACAATTCAAAGACAACCCAGTTAGAAAGTCTATGAGAGGGGCTGGGAAGGTAGAGCGCTTGCCTTGCATGCATGAGGCCCTGGGTTCGAATCCTCAGCACCACATAAGCAAAATGAAAAAAGCCGGAAGTGGCACTGTGGCTCAAGTGGTAGGGCACTAGCCTTGAGCTGAAGAGCTGAGAGAAAGCGCCCAGGCCCAGAGTTCAGGCCCCATGACGGGATCAAAAAAAAAAAAAAAGAAAGTCTATGAGACTCTTGCCTCCAACTAACCAGTAGAAAACCAGAAGTGATGCTGTGGTGCAAAGTGGTAGAGCTGTAGCTTTGAGGAGAAAAGCTCAGGGTCAGCTCCCAGACCCTGAGTTCAAGCCCCAGGACCACCATTACCATCACCAATAACAACAACGACAACAAAGAACTGAGATAGAAAATTCTTTGAGGTAGAAATACTCCAGAAGTCTGAGCAGTTCACATTATCAAATGCTGTGAGACCAAGTAAGATGACCTCAGAATAGATAGATGTTCACTGAGATTGCAGTCAGGAGTCATGGGAGAAGTCCGGGGGGAGCAGTGTCAGCTGAGTTTAGACTAGAAAGAAAAAAGTGACTAGGGGTGAGGGCATGGAAATGGTGATTGCAGGATATCTTGTCTCCCTGTGAAGGGAGCAAAGGAATGAGTTGTATGGGGAGTGTACTGTTTTCAAGACAGCAGGCCATGATGGAGAAGACGGAGCAAGGGGAGAGAAACAAGCTGGCTTGGAGCATCAAGAGGGCTGGGACAGGACCTCATGTGGAGACAGTGCCTTTGACAAGGCCAAAGGACATTCATTCCTGAAATGGGGGGAAGGAAAACAGGATCAGCCTGGGGCGGGGGGGGGGGGGGAGAACAGGGTTGGAAGGGGTAGTGGTGGTGGTGGTGTTTTGGTGAATGGCAGGGGACAACTTTGTCTGAAGTTGCTTATTTTCTTTCAGATGAGATGAGGCAAGGCAAGATTTACTGTTGAGAGGACAGAATGAGGGAGCACAAATGGGGCCAGATGTATGCTGTGGTTCTGAACACAGAAGAGAATCTTAAGGTCACTGTAGTCATTTTTGAGAGTGGAGACTACAGCACAGAATCATAGTGAAGTGACTCAGGTGGCCCAGCAGATCGATGGGTCCACCTAAGATTTGTGTCTATGGACTCCAATTGAGACTTGCCAGCATGCTTGTGGATTTTCCTTCAGCTGTTTATGTACAGGTAACAATACCAAATATATTCAGAATGCCATTTCTTGGTGGGTGCGAGTGGCTCATGCCTGTATTCCTAGTTACTCAGAAGGTTGAGATCTGAGGATCAAATTTCAAAGCCAGCCCAAAGCAGAAAATCCCTGATACTCTTATCTCCAATTAACCACTGGAAAGCCAGATGTGGGGCTATGCTCAAGTGACAGAGAACCAGCCTTGAATGAAAAAGGATGCTTTATCTTTTTATATACATATATGTATATATAATTTTCCCCAGAGACAGAGACCTATAAACAAAGACTTGGTAGTTATTTGATTAAAGTATTTATTACAGTATATGTAATCTCAGTCCTGAGGTTAGTTGCTACCTCAGATGTGGTTAAATTGCATTACTGAATACAAACGCAGTTATGCTTTCTGAATACCTTCTCATACAAAGCGAAAAAGTGAGATAATAAGCAGACAAAATTTTGCATTATAATCTACAGCCCCGAACATACTCGCTGACATCTCGGTTTTGACAGCGATTTCTCCATGCCACCCTATGGGGAAAAGGGAACATGGAGAAAAGGTTAGAACACATACTCTTATCATGCATACAGTTCATATCCCTTGGGATCCATAAAGTATGGAATCAATAAATTAAGTACAGATATAGCTTGGCTCAGATATTTCTGTTAATGAAAGAAATATCACCAAAGCACATTGCTTCCTCCAAGAGTCTCAATAGAATGCAGAATGTTGAACATAATGTTGAGTTATATACACTGCACATCTAATTACTCTGCAGATAGTTTCAAGATTTCTCAAGGAAGTACTAGAGTGAGGAAAGTGTTAAAATCCCTGAGTGGTCATTCAAGAATGCCAAGAATAAAAGGATAAGATTTGAATCAGTCACAATAATTACTTCCTTAGGGGTGGAGGTAGTACATTGCTTTGTTAAGTCAAAACCTGCAGTTCAGTTTTCACAATGATCCTTGATGTTTGCAAGCCTTCTCTCCTGTGTACATCAATGGTAGGGTACACAGATTTCCTTTGAATATTTAATACATACCATGCTCTAATGCCTTGTGGATCACGGACCACCCTCTTTGCACAAGCTATAGCTTGAGTGATGTCATCTTTCAACAAAGCTAAAAGAGAGGGGTGAGGAAAGAGAACCACTGAAGTAAAAATTTCATTTTCAATTTAAATTCAGCAAGCTTCATCATTACACTGAGGAGAAGAAGACTATGAAATTACTTTCCAGGAGTAAGTATAATATGTTGAATTGAAACCCCTCTGTACAAGTACTTTAGTGATGATGATGATGATGATGATGGTGATGATGATGATGAAAAAAGATAATTGAGGAAAACTCATTCTGTCCCATTTAGCATGAACTAAAGCATTTTATTTCTCACTTACTAGTCATAACAAGCACTAGAACTATTAACTAATTATGATGGAAGGTCCTTTTTGTGCCCATCACTGTAAAAGAAATATGCCTAGTAATTTTTTTACTCAGAAATTATATAACTAAAATGTTTCCTAAAGAACAGCCAAGGAAGTGGAGCTGTGGCGTAAAGTGGTAGAGTGCTTGACTAAAAGAGCTGGTGGACACCATCCAGGCCCTGATTTCAAGCACCACAACTGACCAAAAAACATTCATCCTAAATAATCCATGAATTACTTTGTTAGATGTGATCATGACTATTTCAGTAATATATTTTTGGAAATATAAGCTATAAATAAAATATGTTGTTTATAATTCACTTAAAAACCAAGCAGCAAATAAAAGTTTATCTAAAATACCCCTGAAAGTATTTTTAGTAATAATTCTTACTTTAGCAATCCTGACCAGAAGGAGCAATTAAAAGAAAATATTAATAATTTTAAATTGAAGTTATATGGCTGTTTATTGTATTAATACCTAATTTTATATACTTGGAACAATTCATAATAAAAGTAACACAATAAAAAGAATACACAACCAGATTATCCCCAACTATTTATAACTAACCTGATAGAATGTCAACTTGCTGGACAAAGCTTCAAGAAGGCTTTTGATAATAAATTAATTGATCACTCTAAAAATATTTCCCTGTTTAAGAACATTAGGTGTTTGTAGGGGTGTGTGTGTGTGTGTGTGTGTGTGTGTGTGTGTGTGTTTTACTGCGACTTAACCCCAAGCACCTTTTGCTTCATTTTTCTTTTCTTTTATTTATTTATTTTTGGGTCCAGTCATGGGGTCTGAACTCTGGGCCTGGGTGCTGTCCCTCAGCTCTTCAGCTCAAGGCTAGCACTCTACCATTTGAGCCACAGCACCACTTCCGGCTTTTTTCTTTTTCTTATGTGGTGCTGAGGAATCGAACCCAGGGCCTCATGCATGCAAGGCAAGCACTCTACCACTGAGCCACCTTCCCAGCCCCTGCTACATTTTTCAAATAGAGTCTCATAGTTTCCTTGAGCAGACCTAACTAATGATCCTCCTATGTAGCCTCTGTAGCTATGATGACAACTGACCACCACTGCACACAACTTTTCCTAACTTCTTGTTTTTTGTTGTTGGGTCTGGTCATGGGGCCTGAACTCTGGGCTTGGGTGCTGTCCAGCTCTTCAGCTCAAGGCTAGTGCTCTACCACTTGAGCCACAGCGCCACTTCCAGCTTTTTTTCTTTTTGCTTATGCGGTGCTGAGGAATCGAACCCAGGGCCTCAGGCATGCAAGGCAAGCGGCTCTACCACTGAGCCACCTTCCTAGCTCTACAACTTTTCCTAACTTCTTATTGGTTGAGATGAGGTCTCACAAACTTTTTCTTTTTTGTCCAAACTAGCGTTGAACCACAGTTCTGCCGAGCTCAGCATCCTATATAAATAGGACTATAGTCATGAGCCACATAGTTTGGCAGGAATACCAACTTTTTTTTTTTTTAGTGGTAACACCTCTTCAATGTGTTTGTTTGGTGTTGGGAATGGAATACTGGACCTTGTGTATGCAAGCACTCTACCACTGAGCTAAAATCAAGGCCTAATAGTTTATGTAGCTAATTCTGAGCCTGAAAATAATGACATTCTAGAAGTTAAGGGTTTTCCAAGGTTTCTAACATTCCTTTCAAGGCTACGTCACATAGCCTAGATGTTCTGCTCTTGGGGTTACAGCAGACAGTCCCAGGCTATCTCTCCAACACTGTCTCCTCTTACCGCTGCAGGGGATGCCACAGGCATTGACTGCTCCTGGGGTCTTGTCATCATTGCACCAGTAGCGGCTATTGATTTGAAATATCCCATAATCAGTGCTTCTGTCTCCAGGATTGTAGTTTGTAGCTCTTGTGTCATAACTGCTCTCCCATCTGGCCAAACACATCCCTGAAAGAAATGACTTTAATAATAAAACAACAACAGTAGATGACTTACACTATATGCCCACGTTTAGCTCACTGTAGTCTACGAGTGCCTTATTTCACAAGCATAAAGGCATAGTTAACTGACAAAATGTTTAAATTCAGTGTTCTTTGTTGTCTTGAGGCAGGGTCTCCTGGGTTCAACTGATCCTCCTGCGTCAGCCTTCCAAGTACATGTGAGGGGCTCAGTATTTCATTTGTAAGGGCTCTGGGAGCAACTCTTTGCAGAACAAATCAAATTGTGATACTCAAGTCTTTAGAAGATAGGACAACAGCCCCTTCTTAGGTTGCTTTTACTCTTCCCTGTCCTCAGACACCATTTAGTCTAGGATAGAAATTCAAGAGTTGTTGAGGGGATTTTGTAAATTCACAGCAGAAACTTAGGCTGATGGGCAAAATGTTTATTATTAGGAAAAACAAAGATTGTCTAGAAATTATTTTTCTAAGAATATCAAGTTATACTCCTTCTTATCTCTTCTTCTTTGTTCCCAAGTGCTGGTACTATAGGAGTAAACCATTACATCTGGCCAATTAGAATCTTGAAAACAAGAATTATAGACAGGAAAGGATGTATTCTGTTTCATCCATTCATCTATTCACTCATTCATTCAAAAACGTTTATTGAGGGGGGATTGTGAAAAATTCAGTAATAAGATTGATACATATGGAATAAAGTATAAAGGAACTCTTTTTCATGATCATCTTTGATTGAGTCAAATAATATGAAAAGCAGTCAATATAGAGTGGAAAATGATAACAGCATTTCATGCTGAATTTCAGAGATCCTTATTTAAGCAGAGCCTAACAGAAAATGTTATTTATGCCCTTTGTGGAGGTTCCATACAATTGTTGAATATTTTTCTGTTAAGAATCTCATGGAATGGCAGCAGAATTTACAAAAAACACACTGCATCACGCTAAGCTCTTTGAGAGCAGCTCTCTGACATATCCTTTACTCTGCTTGCATGGGCCATTGAGTCTGAGGCAACTGGCCAGCCCAGCAGCTCCAGCAGAACCATCTGCTAGTTTGATTTTGAATTCTGTACACTTTTTGACTCCCAAGCCCTTATTCCTTCACAAAGCATCTCTGATTTAAAAGAACCAAACTGATGTTTTCAGTCACTGTCAGGCCACAAATGTTCAGGGCCTTCTGAGCATTCATTCCCTGTTAATTACCTGGAGATATTAAGGAGAGCAGACTTACAGTTTGCCAGACTGATTCCTCTGTAGCCATCCATTCCACCTCCTTTTAGAATTCTGGCCAACTCGCATCGTTCAAATATCTTGCTATGGACAGTGGAAGAAAAGAGAAGAACCTCTAGAATAAGAAGAGCCTTCATGTTGACTGAGAAGCCAGATCTCTAGGCTGACTAAGGTAAGCTGGTCCCAGTATTTAAGCATCTTCTAACTTCCTTCTTCCTCTCGTGGTTTGAGAGCTACACTTGTGCAAAGCCGGAAAAGATTCTGATGTTCTAAGAGTTAATGAACAAGAAAAATGATGAAATGATGTTGTTTAATGACTTGGATCAAAAAGAATTGGAGAAGTAGCACTGTTTCAAAAGAGGAAGTTTCTCACATTTTATCATGAACAGTTATAAAGAAAAAAATGATTATTCTGTAAAGTTTAAAATCAGCTGTGAGTTTTGACCATTTCATTTTTGTTAAATTGGTGTGTGTGCATTCCAAATTTTGTATTGATCCTAATTATATTCACTTTGACATAAAATGGACAAGACTCACCTGTTTTTCCTCTTAATGAGTATATTGCATGACACAAGTCTGACATGTGCCATCAGCCAGTTTTCTGTTGTGGAATTTTTAGTTACTATAGTTAAGTTTATATTACTATAAACCAATGTATTAATCTTATAGATATGGCTCATATGCACATTTTTCCTGTTTATTTATTTATTTAGTTGGTTGTGGGGCTTGAACTTGGGCTGGGCACTGTTCTTCAGCTCTTTGGTCAAGGCTAGCACTTTACCACTTGAGCCACAGCACCACTTCTGATTTTCTGAGTGGTTTTCTGGAAATAAGAGTCTCACGGACTTTCCTGCCCAGGATGGCTTTGAACTAGATCTTAGCCTACTGTGTAGCTAGGAATTACAGGCGTGAGTCACCGGCACTTGGCTTTATGCTTATGTTTTAACATAAATGGTCAGTATAAAGCAATAGGACTTCAAATATCAAAACAATGCATGTACATTACTATTCACTTTAAAAATAATCATTTCAAGAGGTTGTGAACATTCTCAGAAACAATATTACCAGAATTCAAAGAGAACCAGGTTCAGGATCAGTCTCAGAAGAAGCATTCAGGGACACTTTGCACACTGTTTCTTGGTAGTCACCCTTGGCTTTGATCAATGGCAGTTTCTTTGTGTTTGATCTGTAAAGATAACCATCTAGATCAGGATCAGCTTAGGAAGAAACATTGGGACACTTTGCACACCAGTTCTTGGTAGTAACCCTTGCCTTTGATCAATTGCAGTTTCTTTGTGTTTGATCTAAGAAGACAGCCATCTAGGGCTCTATATTTTTTGAGAATCCTATCTAAAAACCAAGAATAATCCCATTTTTCAGACGAGGCCTAAATATCTACTTGCCTACCGGAGCTAAATTGATAGCACTGATACTGTGTGTCAACATCAAATGAAGGACTTGGTTTTGATACCCTAAATTATTTCTCCTGGGTCAGGAGTTTGCAATGACAAGATTCAATGATAGCTTTACCTTCTCATATGAAATAATCAGTGATCTATTTAAAGATAAAATAACAAACAGGTATTGGTTGGAGGCAGAGATTTATTTTCTCCCAGAAAGTTTGCAAGTATACCTGTTTTATTTGATACAATATACCCATTTTGCGATTTCACAACAGGTGCATAGTTCTTAGACTTTTTTTGTACTAAGAAGGACAATGACTTATTAATTATCCATAATTCATAATTTGTTCAGAATTTTTGTTTCCCAAAATAGAGAAAAAAGAGTTAATTATATTGAATGTGGGGATTTCAGGCCTAGGAAGAGGAATTTGAGAAGGAACCTCTCAGACTTTTGACTGCTTCCTCAAACTGAAATCAACCTTACAAGACAAATATTTGCCAAAATTTCTGACATTCTAAAGAATGTGCTATGGGACCTGTGTTAAAAACGATAAGTAGATTACACAGTTGGATATCTGTTCTTTTCAAAATGCCATTAAATACCAACAAAAGAAGTTTTAAGGGGCTGGGAAGGTGGCTTAGTGGTAGAGCGCTTGCCTTGCATGCATGAGGCCCTGGGTTCGATTCCTCAGCACCACATAAGTTCCTTACTGTTTTTTGGGTTGTTTTTTGGGGGGGGGAGGGGCCAGTCATGGGGCCTGAACTCTGGGCCTCAGCGCTGTCCCTCAGCTCTTCAGCTCAAGGCTAGTGCTCTATCTACCACTTGAGCCACAGCGCCACTTCTGGCTTTTTTCTTTTTGCTTATGTTGTGCTGAGGAATCAAACCCAGGGCCTCAGGAATGCAAGGCAAGCGCTCTACCACTGAGCCAACTTCCCAGCCCATCAGCACCACATAAGCAAAAAGAAAAAAGCCGTAAGTGGCACTGTAGCTCAAATGGTAGAGCGCTAGCCTTGAGCTGAAGATCTGAGGGACAGCGCCCAGGCCCAGAGTTCAGGCCCCACGACCAGACCCCCCCCCCAAAGAAAAGAAGTTTTAAAAAGCCTAAACAAGGCCAGGTACATTGTGCATACCTATAGTGGACAACTTCCCACTGCTTGGGAGGCTGACATTAGAGGATCAATTAAGCCTACGAGTATAAGACCGGTGGCTCAGTGGTAGAGTGCTTGCCTTGCATGCATGAGGCCCTGGGTTCAATTCCTCAGCAGCACATAAGCAAAAAAAGCCAGAAGTGGCGCTGTGGCTCAAGTGGTAGAGCGCTAGCCTTGAGCTGAAGAACTGAGGGACAGCGCCCAAGCCCAGAGTTCAGGCCCCACGACTAACAACAACAACAAAAAGACTTTAAGATCCCATCTCAGAAACGAAATTCATTAAAAAGAAGGGTATAAAGGCAACAAAGACAATGGAAGCCCAGAAGAGATGAAAAGAGACAAAAATTTTGAAATCCACAGAATATAAGTGGAAATATTAGAAAAAGTAGAGAGATCCAAATACTTGTAAAGGAGAAATTTGGGGGGGGCGGCTGGGAAGGTGGCTCAGTGGTAGAGCACTTGCCTTGCATGCCTGAGGCCCTGGGTTCGATTCCTCAGCACCAAATAAGCAAAAAGAAAAAAGCCAGCAGTGGTGCTGTGGCTCAAGTGATAGAGCACTAGCCTTGAGCTGAGGAGCTGAGGGACAGCGCCCAGGCCCAGAGTTCAGGTCCCACGACCGGACCAAAGAAAAAAAAAAGGAGAAATTGGCAAAAAGCATATGATTCTTAACCTACAACCTGAAAAACACCAGGTAACTCTGCAAGCAGCACTGGATGGCAGTGCTACACAGGGAGATCGGTGGGGTCTCCATGTGGAGCATTAAACTTCCATTTCTTCTCCCCTAGGCCAGGAAGCTGGGTTGCTGTCCTTTGTAGACACCATAGGAAGAGGATGGAAATATTTCCCAGAGGAGAGGATGAAGCAGAGATTCTGGGCTTTATATTCAAGGCACAGATAAAAGGGTGAGGAGAGGATGTAGGGCAGTGGGAGAGTTTTGGCTAAAATCCACAAGGCACTGGGATCTCTCTCAATACCAGCTAAAGGCAAACAAGCAGATGAAGTAAAAATCTGCCTTCTCAGGCCCAAGCCAGCCTCCTAGCTTTCAGTCTGCCCCTTTCTGAGCAACTCCATTTCTGGCTGTCCCAGTGACCTCCTAGGCAAGGCCCAGGAGAATATGTAGATGTGGTCATTATCTGAGCCAGGAGAAAAGACATACATACCAGTACTTGGGCCCTCCAATAACATAGCCACTTTTGCCCAATAGCCTGTAGTGGGACTCACCCAAGCTCACAGATTTTTGCATTCAGCTATTTAGTGCTTAAGTCCTACATGTAGTTAACCAAATATCAAAGCCACTCAAGTGAAAGACAGATTGAAACATTCAGAGGACAGGAATGCAGAGGAAATGGAAGCAACTGAAAATAAAATGTAAACCCTAGTGAGAGAGATTAGAGAATAAGAGATTAGAGAAATATTATGTCCATGCAACAAGCAAAGGATGCTATAATAAAAAAAATCAGAGTAGTGTTTTTTTTAAAAAGGAAATACTGGTATTTATAAATAAGAACACATTAACAACATATTTAGTAGAAGAGGTAAAAGATGCCAGTATCTCTCTCCTAATGTTTTCGGGGCAATGGTACAAGTCCTCTCAGTTGCCATGTAGCTGCTGGGGAGGCAGCCCTCATTGCCCTCCCTTGGGAGTGTACAAGCTCAGTAAAGAAGCCTCTTGCTTTTGAATGACCAGGTCAGTTTGGACAATGAACACTATTTGAACTTCTTATGGGTGACCATAACAGCCTGGGGTGCTGAGGTTTCCCCAATTTACTGACTGTATAGTTTAAAAAAAAATTTTTTTTTTTGCCGGTCATGGGGCCTGAACTCTGGGTCTGGGCGCTGTCCCTCAGCTCTTCAGCTCAAGGCTAGAACTCTACCACTGGAGCCACAGCACCACTTCTGGCTTTTTCTGCTTATGTGGTGCTGAGGAATTGAACCCAGAGCCTCATGTTTGCAAGGCATGCACTCTACTGCTGAGCTACCTTCCCAGCCCAGTTTTTAAAATTTTTGATTGTTATTACAAAAGTAATGTGCAGAGGGGTTACAGTTCCATAAGTCATGTAATGAGTTCATCTCTTTTTGGACAATGTCACCAGTTTTTCCCTTCATTCCTACCCACATATTGTATAGTTCATTTTCCACATAATGTCTAGTGAGTACCACTGCTGCATTTGGTCACTTTTTGTCCCTCCATTTCTGTGCCCCACCTTACCCTTCCAGTGACACATAAATGAACAAACAAGACACAAAAGAAAACAACAACAAGGAAAAAATGTTTCCATTTTCTGCAGCTCATTTTGATATTATTTATATGATCAGAGACTCATAGACATTATCATTTTGTGTTTCTCCCCTAATTGTATTCTCCTTTGGTTTCACTGTATGTGGATGCTAAGAGTCTTATATAATGCACAGTATTTTTGAGACTCTTGGAATGTCCAGAATAGGGAATCCCATTTTAAAAGTTTAAATAAATAAAATATCACCACCACCACCAACAAAATCCAAAACATCATTACCTCAGCAGTCAAAGGAAAATAGAGACTTTTTAGAGCTTAGGGTTTTTGACGTAGAAAAACAAAAGCAATGTGATCTTTCTTGCATCCATTCATGGTTCGACACATTTGT